TATGCATCTGGAAAGCATATTATTCATTTATCAGATACTTTTTACGTAAAACAACTAACAAAAGAGGACATTTGTCAGGAAATTGTCCTTAAAATAATGTATCAATGCTGAAAAGTCTTAATCGTTCTAAAATAATTTTCATTCTCTTATGTAAAACATAATATTATTATAAAATTATTGTATTAATTAGTGTAATTAATAATGTATCTATTATTATACAAATTTATTATTATTATTATTATTATAACCAAATAATAATAATAATACATAATATTTTTTATTTTATTTTGGGATGAAATTTTGACATTTTCATGAGATTCACATTTATTTGTATATTACTCCAGAAGTGGTCTCATTCTTCAGCTGTGCTGAGGTCATGCTGTCTCTCTCTTTCTCAGGACTGTCATTGTCTGCTGGACATTGCACCTCATGCTATCGAGCGCCTGCACGTCGTCAACATTTACCCCATCGTCATATTCATACGATACAGAAACGCTAAGCAGATTAAGTGAGTGACGTCTGCCTTTAGATGTTTGCATAAACAAGTGCTCATTTAGGCTCATTTACTGTATGTCTCATATTGTTTTTTTCCTCTGATTATTTTGTCTTTCGCTTTCTCTCATCATTGCATCTTTAGATTGCATGCAACGCAATGTCTGAGTTTTTGTGAAGTCCAAGTCAGTCAGAAAGACTCGATTTGAATCAGTCTAATGACTCGCTCTACTAGAGCCACACTGAGCTCAATCAATGAATTTGATTACTGCAAATGAGGCCAGAAATTAACATTTAGCTGTGCATTCAAATGCATTTAATTAGCAGTAGCTGTGTCTGTACTGAGTCTGTGTTTAATTCACTCAGGGAGCAGAAAGACCCCGTGTATCTGCGAGACAAAGTGTCACAAAAACATTCCAAAGAGCAGTTTGAGTCTGCGCAGAGGATCGAACAAGACTACAGCAAATACTTCACAGGTCTGAGACGTGCACATGCATGCGTTTACACGATTACGCACACGACGGCGTGCTGGTGAGTGATTTGTGATGCCGTTCTGTTGCAGGCGTCGTCCAGGCCGGCAGTCTGTCCAACATATGCACTCAGATCATGTCCATCGTGGACCAGGAGCAGAACAAAGTGCTTTGGATTCCTGATGGAAGCATGTGAAGAACCACACACATCCTTCACAACACACGCTGAAAATGATTTTCTTACTTAGTATTTTTTGTCATTTTTCATTACAAATATCTAAAGATTCTTAAATTACGTTTAAGGAAACAGATTTGAGGTATTAAGTCTCGTTTTCTGAAGAATTCAAAATTCTTTCAGTGGTATAAGAAAAATAATCAATTTGTAAAAATTTTTTTTTAAAAACAATAGTTCATTAAAAAATGAAAATGTGCTGAAGATGTGCTCACCCTCAGGTCATCCCAGATTAGGATGAGTTTGTTTCTTCATCAGATTTGGAGAAATGTAGCATTGCATCAGTGTCTCAGCAATGGATGCTCTGCAGTGAATGGGTGCCGTCAGAATGAGAGTCCAAACAGTTGATAAAAACATCACAATAATCCACAAGTAATCCACAGCACTCCAGTCCATCAGTTAACATCTGGAGAAGACAAAAGCTGAAACTAATCCAGCATTAAGACGTTTTTAACTAAATCACGAGTCCATAATCCATAATAACACTTCCTCCAGTGGAAAAGTGGTCTGGTCTGAATCAGGAGAGAAATCTGCACAGATCAAGCAGAGTTTACAAGCCAAAACAAGATGTTATCTGATGGACTGGAGTGGTGTGGATTATTGTGATGTTTTTATCAGCTGTTTGGACTCTCATTCTGACGGCACCCATTCACTGCAGAGCATCCATTGCTGAGAAAGTGATGCAATCACATCGCAACTATTCCTTTAAGAAGGTTAAGATATTCATACAAGACAAAAATACTGAGTAAGAAAACAATTGTTTTGCAGTGTAATAACACATCGCTACCACTGTTGCAACACTCCACTGCTGTTAAACTCACTACGACACCACTAGGGCTGGACGCTATATCAGATATTCATGAAATATTAAGTGCTTAATGAGCAGCTATGAATTTCCTAATTGTTTAATATGCTTTTATTTGGTTAAGCTTCATGATTGATTCAATGAAACTCTGATTCAATGATTAGTTTGCATCATCACTCAGAAATGTCTCTTTGTTGCTTATAAATATAATTTAATGTAAATATTGCTGAGTGAACAAACACACCTCGCACACACAAACTCTCAGGCAATGATCACAACTGTTAGACAGTCGTATGTGACGTGCGCGAGCAGCAATATCCTCCTGTTTTCTCTGTGGTAACACTAATTTATGAGGGCTTTCATGTAGTTCTTCATGTTTACAGAGGTGATGTTTAAGAACCAGCTTACTTGAATGTTTAACTTCATGTGTCTGTCCCCGCGTGGGTCTGATCCGATCGGTGCATGCTAGTTCGACACAGACGCTCAATTTACGGTTTTCTGGGGTTAAAAATACTGACTGTTAAGTTTGTTTTCGTGTTTAAGGGTTCCTTCACCCCGAAATGAAACTTCTGTCATCATTTATTCAAGCCTATATTCTGTGGAGCACAAAAGCAGATGTTTAGCAGAACGTTTGAGCTGCTCTTTTCCACACAATGAAAGCCGACAGGTTGCCATGCTTCAAAAAGCACAAAAGCACCATCAAATAATGTCATTTTGAGGTTTTTTTTTGTCACTCAAGAGTTGTCATGAATCAGAATAAAGTGCATTTTTGATTCGCTGTCATTGCATAGAAAAGAGCAGAGTGAATTTTCTGCAATCTTCGGGTTTGAAACGACATGCAAACATTTTTCATTTTTGAGTGAACTATTCCTTTAAGCTTTAATGTAGCAGTTTCCTTATCTCATTTTCTTTTAAGTGTACTTGTTATTATTTAAATGAACGATGCAATAATCTGCTGCATGATAATTTTCCTATATGCTCTGTCCGTTTAATTTTTTACTCTAATTTAAATGTCTTTTGTAGTCGAGTCTTAGGCAGAGCTGAATGCTTATTCGTTCTTATTACTACATCTTAAAAGCTCCTCTTGTTTTCAAAAACAAACGTGCCAAATGCTTCCTTCTGCTTTGCCTGTATTTTGCACTCATTTGGATGGAAAGGCAGACAGATCTACTTTATTAATCCCAGACGGGAGATTGAGTAATCCTCGTTCAGGAATAGTTAATCCTCTCTCTAGTGAAAGCTTTGGTACTACACTAGTCTTTCGGCTTACTTTACAGAAGGATGTTCACTGTGACATCACTTCCTGTTCTGACCTACTGTATGTTGACCAATGAAAGGAGTCGCTTGGTTTAGCTTCATCAACAAAGATTGAAACTCTCTCACATCACGTAATGTTCTTCCACTCCTGCCAATAATGACGCTGATGTTGAATTGGTGCAGATGCTCCGTTTGTAGCTGGAAAAAAAACACAATTCCAATTAAAATTCTGTTTTCCATTATGTTTTATAATAATATAACACCCTGGTACTGTCACATTAAACACAAAAATATGATTTTGTAATTGTTACATTAATAAAGTCTAAATTAAACATGACTTAGCGTTGTACTGTCTGAACATTTATACTTTTCAGCAGAATAATTGTCTTTTTTTCATCTGCATGTATTGAGTCTGTATGTTTGCAGTTTATGGTGAATTAATGGAAACCTTGGAGCAATAAGGAAAGTAAAAGTCTCAAAAATTCTATACATTTCTACAAACATCATTTAATGTAATGTGTGGTGTGTCCTAGAGCTCGTGGAAAATATGATGATGCAGTTCCTGTGAGGAGTCACCAGATGGCGTCATTTCCTTCTTCAGCCTCATCCCCATAACCAGGATAATGTAAACATCAGGTGAAATATTATTACTTGATGAGCTGTTATTCAGCGGAAAATATCATATGGCAATCGGAAGAATATTTGTTATCATAAAAAAGGAAAAACAAGCTCCTGTTGATCCCAAATGTGGTTTAGAGCAACTTTTATTTCTCTTGCAAAAATATCAGTGATGCACATTTAGGTTAAAAATAAACTTATTTGAAGCCATAGAAAAAAAAGAGTTTTCCACTTAGTAAGCTTTTGTATATTTGCATCCTTGTGCAGATGTATTTATTTATTTAATTTGTAAATTTCCCTAGAAGTCTGGAGTGCCTGGATTCAGATGGAAAGGCCTTTCAGCGGCAGGCACATAAAATCTGGAATATAATGCATTTAGGCTACATGTTAAGAAAAATACGATGCATGTACATCTGGTGGTGCACAATAATTGAGCCATTCGTGTCGACGATGAGGTTTAAAAACATGGCCATAAATGTAATGAGCCTTTCAGACATTTACTATGGTAACCACAGTGTCCTCGAAAATACCAGGGTGTGAATGATGGTTTTACTGTGTTATCATACACATCAACAAAAGTCTAGTAACTGTGATTTATTTTTACATCTCAGAATGTGAGCTCTTCATGGACAAGTGAGTGAATTTTGAAGTTGATTTTTAATTGTCAGCACTGTGCATTAATAAAAAACATAATTTGTAGAAATAGCAGCAGTAATTTATTTATATATATACATATATATATATATATATATATATATATACACAGACATTAAGAAATTTATATAAAGACATTTTTCAACAGCAACATTTTAAACTAAAAACTCAAAAATAACATTAAATAAGTTCGATGACTTCGATCTGTATTTTATAACTGGCTAAAAGCACCGAACTGTTGCCATGCAACTTGAAAACGTGTTTCAAAACGTTTTAAATATTTGATCCTATTTTAAGCCCACCTAACATAATTCACAACCTAAAAAAAAAATGACATTTTTTCTCAGAGCTGTAGTTACCACGACAGATTTGTGTACGATAAACGCGATTGATGGATGTTTTGGCTATCGGCGGGGTTTGGAGACGTTCTGACGGGCATCAGACTGACTGACTCCGCCCTCCGGCACCTGTGAATCTGCCCTGAACGCGCCGCGGAGAACGGAGCTGAACGCAACACGATAGTGAACGACAGAGAGCGCACGGAAGATCCGCGCCGGGGGAAACGGCGCTCGCGGACGGTCAGGCGGGCATGTTTTCCATCGTGACACATACCCAGAGTACGAGTTCGTTTAAAGACGCGACGACGCGTTTCCAGTAGGTGTTTGCGTGCGTTCTGAGTACCGCGCGTCACCGGTTGCGCAGAGAACCGAGCAGCGGCCGAGAGCGCAGAGCGTAGCGGGAGGAGAGTGCACACACGCGGGGCTCTACGCCCTGCCAAACATGGCTGATCGTCGGGTGCGGGGCGCTGCCGGGATCTCCAGAAAGACGCTCGATGCTCCCCATTGAAGAAGCAGAAGATGATGATGGTGATGAGAAGCTGCTCTCCACAATAATGACCTTTCAACTAGCGGCTCCGTCCTCGGTTCGGAACATGGATGTGATCATCCCCTACACCAATGATGTACCCTGTGACCCCAGAGGCCAGAGGATGTGGTGGGCTTTCCTCGCCTCCTCCATGGTCACTTTCTTCGGGGGTCTCTTCATCATCCTGCTGTGGAGGACCCTTAAGTACCTGTGGACGGTGTGCTGCCACTGCAAGGGTAAAAAGAAGGTAAAACGCCCCAGTGACACCTGCTTTTAGGTCAGAAGTTTCGCAGATGTTCTCGTGATCTTAAAAACCTGTGATCTGAAGACAAATGCGTTTGTAGACGCATGCAGATATGAATTACTTCACAAAATGCAATGATGAGCGCTCATGTTCCTCCTTCAGCTTTGAAACCAGCTCATGAAGTTGGTAGATGAATGTCGGGAGTGACAAAGCAGCTGAAATATGAGTTTTCATTTGTGACACTACATCCTATTGATGTTTTCATCATGCAAACGTGGAAAAGTGAAGAATAAGTCCATACTTTTGGCTGGTAGGCCTAATATATGACACAGTTTCACTGATCTGCTTTTTTTTTCTAGTAGTTCAGCTGATCGAGGTCATGTTTGATTCCAGCACATAGGCTACTGTTAGAATATAAGCGCTGGGAATCACTCTGGATTGAAGTGTGCCAAGTGTCAATGTAAATGTAGTTTTGCTCAGCTCTAAAATGTTTATTCTTATGGATCAGAAATGATTCATTAATGTGCAATGTCCCTGTTAACTAAAATAAAATTTGTGAGTGCTTGAGTCCAGTAGAGCTCGCCTGATCAGTCGGTTCTCTACTGAAGTCATGGAAATAGTTCAGAAAGTGTGGGAAAATACAAGAGAAAATTTGACTGAGATGAACTTTGAATCTTTTCTTGCCTGATAATTGAAGCCTGAAATTAGTGTTTTACTAATAAAATATGAAACATGTCGCTTTAGATGAAGCATCTACCAAACGTACGGAATGAAAAAGTCTTCAAATTATTAGAAGAGACAATGTAGTTGCTTGTTGTTCTAAATAATTGCTAGACCATTGCTAAGGAGTTCAAGATGGTTGCTAGGCAGTTGCTAAGGTGTTCTAGGTGGTTGCTAGGCGGTTGCTAAGGTGTTCTAAATGGTTGCTAAGTTGTTCTAAGTGGTTGCTAGGCAGTTGCTAAGGTGTTCTAGGTGGTTGCTAGGCGGTTGCTAAGGTGTTCTAAATGGTTGCTAAGTTGTTCTAAGTGGTTGCTAGGCAGTTGCTAAGGTGTTCTAGGTGGTTGCTAGGCGGTTGAAGAGTTCTAAGTGGTTGCTAGGCAGTCGCTAAAGTGTTCTAAATGGTTGCTAGGCAGTTGCTAAGGTGTTCTAAACGGTTGCTAAGTTGTTCTAAATGGTTGCTAAGTTGTTCTAAGTGGTTGTTAGGCAGTTGCTAAGGTGTTCTAGGTGGTTGCTAGGTGGTTGATGAGTTCTAAGTGGTTACTAGGCAGTCGCTAACGTATTCTATGTGGTTGCTAGGCAGTTGCTAAAGAGTTCTAAATGGTGCTTAGGCAGTTCTATATGGTTACTAGAAAGTCGCTAAGGCATGCCAAGTGGTTTCTAACAGATTGCTAAAGTGTTCTAAATGGTTGCCAAGTTGTTCTAAGTGGTTGCTAGGCAGTTGCTAATGTGTTCTAAGTGATTGCTTAAGTATTTATTCTAAATGGTTACTAGTCAGTTGCTAAGGTGTTCTTGGTGGTTGCTAGGCAGTTGTTAAAGTGTTCTAAATGGTTGCTAAGGTGTTCTAGGTGGTTGCTAGGCAATTGCTAAGGTGAGGTTGTTATGGTAATGCTGGATAGGGTTTGCTCTTGTAGAAGATTTTAAAGTGAGTGTTCTTGTCTACAAACAGCTGTAAATAAGAGATCAAATCAACACGAAACGCTGTTCAGAACCATTTTACGGCCCTAATGTGAAGTGAAAATGGTAATATGCCAAAAAATTTACTGGTAATTGACTGGATACATGACAGGCAGTAAAAAACAACAACAACAACAAAAAATATATATATATAATACACAATATTGTCTGTTTTTTTGTTTCGCCAACAAAAATAGGTTCAAGCAAAGCGTCTCATTTGTGTTTTGAACTTTCGATCCTGAAAGAATCTGTTTTTGAACGAATCATTTGAGTCAGTGATTCAGTGATCCATTCATAAAAACAGTTGCTTGCTTCGTTTCTAAACGAATCGGCCGTTTTGAATGAATCGTTTAAATTAATGATTCAATGAATCAATGACCTGCCGTGGTGGTTTTAGTGTCGTATTTATTTATCCAAGACAGGCCTAAACCAGCCAAAGTACCAGCACAAAAACACAGTCAGCAAAATATTGTCACAGAAAATATCGAGATATCATTTTTTGTCAATATTGCGCACCTCTACTGTCTAAACAATTATTGAAGGCTAATGAGTGATTTTTAAACGTTGTACATTTGCACCTGTATCTGTGTGAATGCTGTTGGTTTGACAGGAGTACAGCTGTCTGTTCTGTTAGCAGAGACGTACCAGAGCTTCGCTTGCGTCTTTTCCCCGTGTTTGACATGGAGCCAGTGGTCAGGAATAGGCTGAGTTTTCACTGACATTGTGTAGTCTGCCCACACACACACACACACACACACACACACCACAGCTGTTGCTTTCATTACAGGCCTGTCAAACATAGTTGTGTTCATTCTGCCAGACGTTTCAGGAAGCCTTTTTCTCCCATTCCCGACCTCAGCGGCCTGTTTCCACTCAAACACACCGCTCTGATTGAACTTGCTGATTTAAGATCAATGTCAAATCAATATAGGCTTATTTTCTTAATACATGTTCCTACTCTGATTGAGCGTGATTCATCTGTGACTGTCCTGAACTGTGACGTCAAATGCAGTAGATGAGTTTATTTCATGCTGAACCAGACATCTAAACATACCGCTTTATTGCAATATAGATGATTGGCATATATGTATTATGCAATATAGATTATTGGCATACATATGTTTATATTTGAAATATTTATACAATTTTCTTTTGCATTTGCTTCCCCCAAAATCCCCAATACATTTTGTAATATATTTGTGTTTAGTGGTTCATTTTATTTATGTAAAATTAGCTACTATTTTAAATATTTCTATTAATTTCGAGGTTATATATGAGCCGTACATTTTTTCACCCATTTACATCCACACTTCCACTGTTCTTAAAGTAATAGTTCACCCAAAAATAATCATTCTGAAATTGTAACTTACCTTCATGTTGTTTAAACTCTAAACTCCTGTTTCTCTTGATAAATAATTAGCAAGCTTTGATGGCAATTAAAATAGTAGCTACCCACACAAACGTGTGTATATATTTTCAGTGTATTTTTGTAAACAATATTTGCCTCTAAATTATACATCATTTATTTCTGTATAACATAAAATATCAGAAAAAAACATTTTATATTATTTTTAATTAATGCAGTATTTAAAATGAAAATAGAGTAAATGCGCAATCCCTGGTTGCTGAGAAAAGTGTTTTCAGACAGAATTACATACTTTTATTAGGTTTTGCATTTGGATGTGTATTTAGACATGATCAAATACTAGTTTTAGATTTTTTTGTTTAAAAGTTGTTGAGTCATCTGGCTCAACTAACTAAACCGTAATCTCAAACACATCTGTGAAAATGAATTTTTCAGATCAATTGCTATTTTATCAAAGCCCTTCAAATCAAAATAAAGAATGGAGATTATTAATGTTGAGATATGATAGCTTGTGTTGATATTTTGTTGTTTTTGAGCAAACTAGCCAGAAAGCATGAAGAATATGTTATAAAGAGCTTGAGAAAGAAATAAAAAGCCACTCGTGCATAAATGACATGCAACTAGTGGTGTGCAATATCATATCTCTGTATTTTGGGGATTTTTGATAATGATAATTAAACAATATTTTGCAGAGTGTGCTTTTGTGCTGGTTTTAGTCCAGTCGTGAATAAATAAATATGACACTAAGACCACCAGTAGGTGGCAGCAAGTCCCTGACTTAATAAGTAATTAATTCAAACGATTCATTCAAAACGGCTGATTCATTTTGAAACGAATCAAGCGACTGTCTTTAGAACTGGATCATTGAATCATTGAAAGACTTGTTTAAAAACAGATTCATTCAGGATCGAAACACAAATGAGACTCTCTGTAGTCTCTCTGTAATAGTGTGGTTTGAGTTACTTTATTTCTTTCCTGAACCATGGACAATAGAATAGAATAGAATAGAACAAACTGGTGTTAAACTTGACATTCTGTCCCCCTCACGTCTGCTCCTGGTTGCTATAACTGCTTTTGTGTTCCACAGAAGTAAGAAAGTCGAACAGAATTGTAATGAAATGAGGGTCAGTAAATGATGACAGAATGTTCTTTTTTTTTTGGGTGAACTGTCCATTTAATAAAGGATTTTGTCATTTTTACAGCATATATTCCTTTTGCAGTGATTTACAGCTGGCCGATCTGTTAACTGAAGCTCTCGATCTGTCCATCTCCTCTCACTTTCTCTGTTTTACATGCATCTTCCTCATTCAAACTGCGTGTCACTCTCCTATAGTGTGCGTGAATCAGATGCTTGTTGCTAAGCAACAGGCGGCATATTCATTATCGAGCTGGGAAATATCCCCTTATGTAATTGTGCTTTTCTAGAGACCACACACACACACACACACACACACACACACAC